AAATCAATGTTGAACCATTTTAAAAAATAGCGTTGATTTGGTGACATGCCAAATTGTTGGCCTTCCTGGGGCGCCTTGTGTCTCTGCTCAGCCCTGGCTGTCAAGCCCTCTCATAGATGTCTTAGTTCCTTCCTTCTATACAATCCCAGAGCCCAATCCTGAGGAAGTAGGCTTCTCTCCGCTTCCTTTACCTTCCTGAGTTTTCACTGAAGACTCTGTGGTCTACCCTCATTTTCTGTTTTCAGCAGTCTGGCTCCCGCCTGCATTCTTCCTTTTCTAAATATGCCTGTTGGGAGTGACTTGGGTTTACTGGCATCAGAATTCTCAAGCTTGCCACAGAGATGGATAGGTTTGTTGCTAGAATTTATCAGGAACTTGTGACTGAATTTCTTTACATGTTTATTCCTGAGTCTAGAGCTGTTTTTCTTCCTTCCTTCTTTTTTTCTTTCTCTCTCTCTTTTTCTTTCTTTCTTCTTTCTCTTTCTTTCTTCTTTCTCTTTCTTTCTTCCTTTCTTTCTTTCTTTCTTTCTTTCTTTCTTTCTTTCTTTCTTTCTTTCTTTCTTTCTTCTTTCTTTTCTTTCTTTCTTTCCTTTTTCTTTCGTTGTTTTTTTCCTGAAATCAAATTAACAATATTTCTTGACTCGGCAGCTATGGGAAGGCTAGGGTGAGAAACAATACAACAAACAGGAAAGAAATGACTGAGTCTTGGTTCTGGACATGTATTTCTCAGTCCCCACTCTAAACGCTAATAGACGTGTGACTTCATTCAAGTTACATGACCTCTCACACCAGCCGCAGACTCATCTCTCCAGTGAGTGTTTGGCTGGATGTCATCTAGTGTCCTGGCTAGCTCGAGGGTCCTAGGAGCTCTTGAACTGGTGTGGAGGAGAGAAATAGAGGCATAAAAGTAACTGATGAGGACTCTAAAAGTCCTCCAGTGGTTTGCCTCATTTGGACTTATGTTTTCATTCCCAAGCCTAGAGATTAGGTTTTAAAGGATGCAACCTGAAAGGATTTGGAGAAAAACTATTTCAGATATCCACAGGAGCTGTTTGAAATATCATGTGGAATATAAAAATGTTGAAGGCACAGTCTTCTCACAGAGGAGTTTCACTCTCCGCAGAGAAGACACGCTGTGCAAATATGCACTAATGTTGCAAGAATCCAAATAAGCCTGGATGAAGTGCTAACATTACAAAAGTATAAACAATGGCCATGGTAGGAATTCCGAGATATGTGGTCTACAACAGGAGAAGCTGTCCCTTTGTTCTGGAGTCAAGACAGGCCTTTTGTAATGAAAGGTGAAGCAAAGGCCTTCCTTTGGACCTGACGGGGGTTCGCTAAGTGACTTGTCTCTGTACATGGGGTCGCTACTGTGGGCACGGCTGCCTCGCTGCCCATTGTTTTTGCATTAATGGGGCTTCTCTAAGTACAGATCCAGGACATGATGCTTTGTATGTCAGTGCTCCAATATTTGGAGAGAGAGACCACATTCATGTAATGATTACACAGTGTATTGTTATAGTTGTCCTGTCTTACTATTATTGTTTTTGCATTAATGGGGCTGTGTATGTGTTCTTGCTCCCATATCAGGAGCAGAGACCCTGAAGAGTCTGGGAGCACCCGCAGCTCCAGTCTCCTCTTTCCTTATGCTGGAGGAAAGACTGTGCCAAGGAACTTTGCTTGGAGCAAAGCGACCTGGGTGGGATTTGGCTGACTCCAAATGGTGTTATTAAAGACTGAATCCCCCATTTGGTAAATGTACTGATACAGAAATGTGTTCTGATGTCTTTTGGGGCTAAAGAACAATACTGTAGTCCTGGGAGTGGAGGCTGGAGTTTCCTGTGAAAGGAACGGACAGTCTGACCACCAGTCTGTCATTCTGGAAATGTCAGTCCTGGGGAAGGAGGTGGGAGCATAGAGGGTGGGTCTTAGCAGAGGCAGAGGAAGAGTCTTCTCTCTAAGGTCTCAGGTCAGTTAGCCTGGAGCACTTAGGAACTATTTCCAGGAAAGCTTCTATTTCACTTGCTCTTAGACTTACTTTGAGTACTCCATTCCAACCAAAGGAAAAAAAAAAAGCCAATTCTTTCCCCACAATTCTTTATTTTGGTAAACATGCTCATGTGTCATGGCGGCTCACAGCATTTAATTATCTGGTTTACCCAAGATGATTGTAAAGAAACAATGACATAAAATAAAATGTTGAAATGTCCAAGTGAAAACGTCAGAGATGATCTAGGTTAGTTTCACAATAGGGTTGTGTTGATTTTCTGTTGGAACAATTCTTTGTTGTATGGGACTGGCCTCCTCATTACAGGGCATTTAGCGTTCTTGATTCCCTTAATTTTTGTGACAACCCAAACCCACCCCACACATATCCAAATGCCCCCAGGGTGGAGGAAAGTAACATTCCTGTTGAGAACCACCAAAACCTCCATTAACTAGAGGATAGGAGGCCTGAAGTAGTCATGTGACTGCCAAAATTACAGAGTGAATTAGAGAGCCTGAAAAGAAACCAAGTCCTCTCACTCCTATGGTCAATCTTATTATCCTCTTCACCTGAAATTAAGAAACTAAAGTTCAGAGTGGTTAAGGACATGTCTTGGATCACACAATTCATAAAAGGCACAGCCTGTAGTCAGCCCCAGACCTGGCTGGTTTCAAAGCCCACCCATTGCACTTCATCATGTGATGCTCATAAGCTAGCTCGTATCCAGTTAGAAAATGAAGACCCTGACGTGCCTGACACTTTCTGCAGGGTGTCTCCTCCTTCCCCAACTTACAACTAACAAAGTGATAATCCATAGATTTTTCTTTTCTTATTTTTTTAAAGATTTGTTTATTTGAGAGAGAGAGAGAGAGAGCACGAGCATGCGAAAGCAGGGGGAGGGACAGAGGCAGAGGGAGAGAATCCCAAGCAGACTCTGCGCTGAGCTGAGAGCCCAACACAGGGCTCCATCCCAAGACCCCGAGATCATGACCTGAGCCGAAATCGAGAGTTAGATGCTCAACTGACTGAGCCACCCAAGAACCCCCATAGATTTTTCTGATATTTCTAAAATGTTCTAATTTTTCTCATATAAGGTAATGTAAAAGTTGACATTTTAAAGTGACAGATTATGCAGAAATCTCTAATTTTTTTTGGTTATTACTCAACTATTAACTCATTTGGAATTGTGCAAATAATTAAACTTGCCCAACCCTGCATTCTTTCAGTATGACCAATTTCATCATGGGAGTTTTCATACAGAGATCTAAAATGTCCACAAAATATGTTACTATTAATGTATTACTATTAAAAGCAAATTCTTCAAATTTCTAACTGTGGAAATTAAGGATTACATATTATATTTTGTGTAAAATGAAACTAAATTTTTTTAAAAAGTTTTTATTTATTTATTTGAGAGCGAGAGAGAGAGCAAGGGGAGGGGCAGAGGGACAAGCAGGCTTCTTGCTGAGCATGGAGCCTGACGCGGGGCTCGATCCCGGACCCTGAGATCATGACCTGAACCGAAGTCAGATGTTTGACTGAGCCACCCGGGTGCCCCAAAATGAAACTAAATATTGAGAAGATGTTTCTGTATAGCCTCTCTTCATAAACCTAGCCTATTAACTAGTTCTGTTGATCTAAGTAATCAGAATCATTCTGGCATTTGGAACTAGCACATGCAAGTTTACTTTTTTCTTCTATAATGATTTAAGAGCTATTCTTCATTGAAATAGTCTCAGTGCTATTTGTTCATGTTTCTAAGAGACTTGTAAACAAAGCATAACTGTAAATTAAAGAGACCCATGTCACCAGTGATAATCAAAATCTTTCTCATTGTTATAGATGGTCACCCAGATAATCATAACATGCTGATATTAAACTTTCTGAGGTTATTTTAGAAATATAAATGCAAAATTCAAACATTCCTGGAAGACTCTACCTTACATATGAAAGCATTTCTCTTCAGCTATCACTGTTTTGTGCCTTAAGATGCTATAATTCTGAGTCTAACTCAGCCACATAATTTAGAATAACTTAAAAAATGTATTTAGAAAGTCAGTGCTTGCAAAATTTGGTTAAGTTGATCTTTTTAAAGGGAGCAGAATGTCGTTTAGTCTTACTGGATCAGAAATATTTTAAAATCAAGTGCTGTGTTTCACAATCACTGGGAAGCAAAATTCTCCACATGTGCATTTACTCAGAATAGCTAGATAATTATTAGCCATTTCGTAACTAGAGGAATGGTCAGAATCCCAACCCTCTATTAACTCAATTTACACACTTTTTTTTTTTAAAGATTTTATTTATTTATTTGTCAGAAAGAGAGAACAAGCAGGGGGAGGGGCAGAGGCAGAGGGAGAAGCAGGTTCCCCGCTCAACAGGGAGCCCGATGCGGACTCGATCCCGGGACCCTGGGATCATGACCTGAGCCGAAGGCAGACGCTTAATCGACTGAGCCACCCAGGTGTCCCTCAATTTACATGCTTTTTTAATACAATTTGACGAACACGTATTACTGTATTCATAGAAACTGGAGTTTTCACCCACTCCATAGAGGTTATCAAGAGGCTGTAAGGTATTTTTTTTTCTCTTTAAATACAACATGCAGAATATCAAGGGCAGAAGAACTATCAGAATGCATATGGAAATTTTATACCCAACACATACGTAGGAATTTATAGCAGCAAGTCATTGTAATACCCTTTTCAAAGGGTTCATTACATACTTATTCTAAGGATGATGCCAGTGCTCTAAACACCTGTTTCTCAAACTGGGGGTCACAATGCCTGGGGTTCCAAGGATATAGTCTCAGATATCCATGAATTTGCCATACGAAAGTTTAAAAGTTGTATTTATGTTTCTAAGGTACTCTAAAAAATTTTAATATCAGCCATGTTATGGATCATCCGAGTGATCGTCTCATTACTGAGCATTGCCAAGAATTTTTATGCCTCTGTTTGTGTTTCTGATGCGTTAACATCAAATTATTCTAATTATCGTGGGTTAATAGGAGAGCACAGATATTTTCATGCCAAATGAAGGCCAAGTCATGACTGGCCCTGCTGTTCCAAGTTTCCCCGTGGATTGAAGGGATAAAGTGGCGGGAGAACTGAGTCATCAAGCATGCAACCACACCGCAGTGCTGAACTCTGAAATGCCTCAGGGTGGCAGGCAGAAGCCGAGGCACTTTGGGAGTAGCAGCTCCGTTTCAGAAAAATATCAGCTGTCAAGTTAGACTTGTGTAAGTAACTTCAATTATATTGGTTTCATCATTTTGTTTGGGTCGAATTTTAAAATGTGTTGTGCCTTTATAATTTTATAAGTGCTGTAAATCCAAGGAAATTTTTATCCCTGTTTTCATATTTGTACACATCTAAGTAACGTTGCAGTGAAAAGTAATTTAAGGCAACACTAGATGGTCCATGAGCTTTTCTTTTAAAATCTTTTATTTATTTTGTTACAAGTGGTCCTTTTGAGAAACAGTGCTCTAAACATTTTGGACCATTTCTCGAGGAATTTTCTCTGTTGTGCATTTCCTTGAATATTTCACCAGTCCAGATCTTTCTCCTCTGACCACGGATGTGTTGAGGTCATTGTGGCAGACATTTTGTTGCCTGCCCAGCACCAAAGAAGTCTATCTACAGTTACTGCCCCTCTGTTTTCCTTTCTGCAACGTGGGTCTCAGTGGAACCGCCAATCACGGTGCCCCATCCCACCTCCACCCCCACTCCCTGGCCCGGGGCTGGATGCGGATCCCAATGATGTCAGACAGGCTCTCGCTGGAATTTGAGGCTTGACGCAGAGTGACATGAGGACTGAAAATAGTTGAAGCTGATTCATCCCAAAGGGTCGAGGCTCCTGCTACTTTATTCCTTGGTTTTGCCTGGGTTCTGTCCTTTCCAAAATTTGCTGATCAGTCATCGCTTTAATTCTGTGGGCTAACCTTACCTTTCAACCCATCCCTTTATTTTTGATAAGTTTAGCCAGAGTTGGTTTCTATTACCCACAACAATTGATGGAGCCATAAGAGTGACATCTGGTAAAAAGGGTCAGTGATGATACCAGGAAGTTTTGTCTGGGTCACAAAAAGAATGTATAGCATTTATTGGGGTTCATCATGTGGCTGTTCATTCTACAAACACTCTTGAAAGAGGCTGTGGAGCCTAGTGGCTTTAGTATCACAGGGAGCTAGTTCTCTCACTTATCAGCTGTGTAGGTCGCCCTGGGCATGTTCCTTAAACTCTCCAAGCCTGTTTCCTCACAGGTAAGCTGGGATAATAATAGTAAATACCACATGGTATTGTTGTGAAGATTAAATGAGATAAGATACATAAAGCTTAGAGTAAAGACTTAAAATATGAAGTGTTATTCTTACAATTTTCATATGTTTTATGAGATAGTCACTGAGCTCCATGCTGGGGATGCAAAAGTAGTAAGAGAAAAGAAATTAAGTCCACCCATATTTTTCTTGGAAAAAACATTGACTTTGTTTGAAGAAGTACATTGATAATCTGCCTGGGGTGGAAAGCAAGGAATTAAGCACCACCGAGGAAATCATTAATTGAAAGTCGAGTGAGAATGGGAAGAGAAGAGAAATTAGCCAAAGAATGACAGATTGGGGATTTTAGAGTGAAAGGTGATGTCATATGTAGCCTATGTACAGTTAGGGGACAGTTGTTATCTGTGTTTTATTTCCGGAGTCCTATGTGGGATGGTGGAATTAAGGGACAACTTCCAGTTTATAATTTATATGATACTCAGAAAGCAGACCCTTGAAACAGGATTTTGAGATTGGGTTGTGTATAGCACAGAGACCGTGTGCTCGGTAGGGGTGAGGGGAGAACGGGACATGGATAATTCATGGCGTATAGCCACAACATGACTCCCCAAATGATCATGGTATGATAGCAAGAAGCCAAGTGCGGTGGAGGGCAAGGCATGGGGAGGTCAAGTGGCTGTGGGACTTAATTGCTATAGCGATAGTCGTGTTTGTAAGGATCATGGAGACACCTGGCTTCTTCTGAGAACCCTAGATAGTCCAAGGGAAATGAAAAGCTTTAAAGATACACTTAAGAATGCACACAGGGAACCAGAAGGCCTCCATGACCGCTTGGAGGGAATCCTTCCTTTTTTGTAACTGCAGGGTTGATACGGCTGAGGGGTAAAGGGTACAGAGGGTGAAACCTGCTAGGCTTCTTACCCTAGGGTAAGGGCACTGGTGGGGCTGGAGTGGGACATGAAGCATGGCTGGTTTGAAGACATTTGGGCAGACATGGACAAGGCTGAGAACTTTGAATCGTTAAGTTCCCCTTGCCTCCCTTGCCAGCAGAGGAAACCTCATGCCTCTCTGAGGGAACAAACCTTCCTCTCCTAAAAGCCTTTATACCTGGCAATTGTGTCCCAAACTAGTGTCACTGCTCATTATCTTCAGGCCCCAACAAGAGTTGAAACCAACAGAGCCCTGATGGAGAGGCACAAAGGCTGGTGTGGGAAGGGAGAGTTTATACCTAGCTCCAAGATGTCACTGATCTGAATTGGCAAGAGCCTGGGAAGCAACTGTCAGAGTGGATTCTAAAGGTGTTAGACCTTGGGGCACCTGGGTGGCTCAGTTGGTTAAGCGACTGGAGTCCCAGGATCAAGCCCTGCATCCGGCTCCCTGCTTGGCAGGGAGTTTGCTTCTCACTCTGACCCTCCTCCCTCTCGTGCTCTCTCTCTCAAAAAACAAAACAAAACAAAACAAAACAAAACAAAACAAAACAAAACAAAAAAACCAACTTAAAAAAAAAAGTGTTAGACCAAAAAGGACACTATGTGAGGCTTTTTTGGTTTGAATTATTAACACTGGAGTACTCTTCTGGGATTCTAGATTTAATGTGTTGGCTTCAGTGTGCTCAATTGGCTGACCAAAATCTGGACTTGGCAGCCATGGCGTGGCAGGTTGTGTTTTCTGAACTGTTTGGAATATATATCCTACCCCAGATGCTCAGTCCTAGGGCTAAGTCAGTTCTCTTGCTTTCTATCACAGTGCAGTTTGGAGGAATATTGGTCATTTTGCTATCCCTTAGTAGATGGAATTATGCTAATGGAGTTGGTGGTGAGGAAGTAGCAAACCGCTTTGATGTCTTACCAAAAAACAAGTATGCCTTAGGGTGAAAAAGAAATCCTGAGAAAGTTTAGGGCTTTGACATCTTGGTGAGTTTCTAGAGTCCAGTGATCTGGTTATTTGGGGCTATTCCTTCTAAAGTGAGAGACATGTTGCACCTCACCTGGCTCACTCGGTGAGCTTCTTTGGATTTTGGAGGCATATACCCCATTTGGGCATGCTGCTTTGACTCACTTATTGGGCAACCCATAGGATACCAGTTCTGAATAGGGTCTGCAATAAGAAAAGGTCGTGCAGCGGGGCTGGGCTGAGGGCTCAGTTGTCCTGCCACTTGAGCCTTATGACCTAGCGGAACCAGCAGTAGGAGAGAATTTCCTTGGGAAAAGAAACTCCAATATAATAAAAATACATACGATTTTTATTTTCTCATTTTTATAAAATACATGCTTATTATGCAAATTTTAAATATACAAATAAGGAAAAAGAAGAAAATAAATCAATTATAACCCCACAACCCATATAACTGTGGATCCTATTTTGGTGCATATCCTCCCAGTGTTTTTTGTTTTTTGTTTTTCCCTGAGGCATGTAAATACTTACCTTTTTCTTTAGAAGAACAGACTATATAGAACTATATAGAATTCTATAACTTACATTTTCCATTAAGTATGTTAAAAGCCCTTCCTTATTCTTCAGCATCATTATTTTAAATACCTGTTTCATGGTTCATTGTATGGATATCTCATGATTTACTTAATTTCTTAGCTGTGGATAGTTAGATTATTTTCCATTTTTAGCTATTATGACAGGTTTTGCTGACCACCATATTTTAATTTTTATTCTATTAAACTAAAACCACAACCTATAAAAAAAGAAAACTATTACCTGAAAAGTAATATATCTTTAAATTAAAAAACGTGAAAAAAAGTACATATATTTTAATTTGGGGAGGAGAAATGTAAAGCGTGCATCTATCCTTACAATAATGTAAAACTTTCTGGACGTATTGCTTTTGTGAAGTAGGTGATTAGTCCAGTTTCATATCCCACGAGCTTTGAGCAACAAACGTCTGGGACAGAATTACACGTCAAACCCACAGACTGTAGAGATTTCCTCTTGTTTTTTTCCATCACTGTTGATGAGCATCAAATAGTTTACTGTGACATTTTGGTTTGGGTTAATTCTGCCGAAGAACAACTTCCCTAAGAGTGGCCTTCTGTATTAATCATGATTTCTAGTTTCTATATTTTATGATGTTTGACATCTTGGGAGGCATTGCTGGCTGGGGAGAGACTGCCCCTTCCTGGGGCTACTTGGTTCCTAGAGAGTGCCAACAACTCCCTAGTGAGCATCTTTTTCATATGCGCATCAACCCATCCAAAGTCTGCCTCCCCAGCCACTTCCTTTACTTACACACTCACACACCAAACCACCATCTCCCCTGCCCTAAATCAGGTACTGGGCAGCTGGAGACCACCCCTAGAGCTAGAAGCCCTGTTGAAATTCTTCAAACTATTCAATCTTCAGCTTGTTCAAACCTGTCTACCCTGCCTTACCCATTCCTTTCCCGAGAATAAAGGCTCTGGGTCATCTTATCCTCACTCCTTCTGCCTCTTGGCGCTTTCCCACACCCTGTGTGGTGTGTGGGCCCATCTCTTGGGAAATGGAAGGAATCAACTCTTCTTTCAAAGGTAGTTTTCCTGTGTCTGTCACCGCACCACACTTGATTAAAACAAATCCCAGGTACATCTTAGAACACCTCCCTTCTCTCTTTAACCGGAAATATTCTAAAGCTGCCTGGGGTCCCAATTCTATGCCCTTCCTTAGCCTTTTCTGGTTTATGGCCACATCCACATGGGGCTGGTGTGCATCTAGCATTTTTGGATTGCCTGAGCCCTGAAGTTCTGTACACTGTGTGGATAGAGTTTTTTTTTTTTTTTTTTTCCCGTAATACAGAATGCCCTTTAGGTATTACAATTTGTTTTTTATTTTTCTGGTTTTATTATTATTATTATTTTAACTGGATCTTCATGGTTTTTTCTTGTTCAAAAGAAGAAAATAATCCATTATTTTGCTTCATAATCTTTGAATAGCTTCATGAAACAAGAGGACCCCTGGATTTTATATGACGAAAATATGTCTATAGCAAATGTAAATTTTACCCACTGTGTGTCTTTCCCCAAAGCCCAGTAATTGGACATTTAAAAGATGTCAACCGAAGCCTCCGTTTGATCTCCATAGCTCTGGCAGCTTAGAAATAACTCCCGCTGAGAAACAGACAAATGCCTGCTCACAATGAGACTAGGAAGCACAGGGACCTCTAAGAAAATGTGCGATTCCCTAGGAAAGTATAAATCAAACAGAAATCGAACCTGAGGGCTTATGTACATTTTATTTTTATTATTATTTTTTTAATGTTTTATTTATTTATTTGACAGAGACACAGCGAGAGAGGGAACACAAGCAGGGGAAGTGGGAGAGGGAGAAGCAGGCTTCCCGCGGAGCAGGGAGCCCGATGTAGGGCTCGATCCAGGACCCTGGGATCATGACCTGAGCCGAAGGAGACGCTTAACGCCTGAGCCACCCAGGCGCCCCGCTTATGTACATTTTAAAAAGACATTTTTTTCCCCCCTGCAAAATAAGCTTGGTAGATTTTTTTTAAAAAAATGACTTATTTGATAAAATGCTGAATTTAGCAAATTTAGAAAATTCAGTCAAACATTAAATGCTCACTGAGTACCATGTCTACAGCTTGCAGGCTCAGAACAAAAATGGCAAAAGCTCTTAATAACGTAATGTATGATAACACAAAAAGACATATACCGAGGAGTGATGGAGTCACAATGCCTCAATTCTTGGGTGGGCTTCACTTAGTGACAGTGGGTATCCCTTCACTTTCCAGACCCTTCTTCATTCGTGAAATGAAAGGACTGGACTGTCTGCATTCTTCCCATTCTAAAACTCTGACATATTAAGAATTTACTTGGGATTCTTTCTATGACTATTCCAAGCCCATCTTTAGATCTTTAAATTAGAAAACCCTCTGGTAGAGATCTTTCCTCTTAATTTATTAGCAGTACCAACCACTTCTGATTTATGTCAAAATATCGATGCATGCATTTACATTTTATGATGAAGAAATGAAAAAAAAGGGGGGTGCCTGGGTGGCTCAGTTGGTTAAACGTCTGCCTCTTGATCTTGGCTCAGGTGATGATCTCGGGGATCATGAGTTCGGGCCCCGAGTTGAGCTCCAGGCTTGGCATGGAGCCTACTTAAAAAAAAAAAAAGAAAAGAAAAGAAAAAAAAAAGAGTAATGGCTAAAATGGAAAACTCTTTGACAATGGTTTCTCGACGAAAGGAGGGTAGACGGCGTTCATGCCAGTTGTGGAGTCGGGGAGCGCCCCACGCTGGTAGGCTCTGAATTGCTCGCCTCTCTAATGGTGACACTAGACACTGGCAAGTTCGGTCCCAGTTCTGGTTGAATCCAAACCCCTTGTTTTGCCTGTGGAATACGCCTTAGGAACGTGGGCTTTCGAGTTAAATAACTGGGTTCTGATTCTGGCCCTGTCACATACTGCCTGTGCTACACACCAATTATTCCATTTTCTGAAGGTTCAGTTTCGTTGCCTCTAAAATGCAGCTGAGACTAATGCCTGGTTCAGAGAGTAACTGTGAGGTTTCAGTGAGCGAATGGCTGCTGCCGTTTGTTTTCACTGAGCAAGTGCTCAAACAGTGGTTCCTCTTATTAGGCCCTATTGCCTTCTTGGATCTCAATTCCGTGCCCTTATGATCTTGTAGAACTAGGAATAGTAAAGAAAAAATGTGATATGATTTATAAATAATATAAAGGAAGTTGGGGGGAATAGAGCATCTAGTATAAGAGAAAGATGAACTATTTCACGAAGGTAGAAAATAGATCCTAATAGAGTTTACAAAGGCAGAAAAATTAACTTAAGAAATGACAGACAGGAAAAAAAAATCAGTATCAGATTGGGAAGGGACAGGACATTTTGACTCTCCTAAAGCTTTCATACCACAGACATTTTGATAAGCAGACGGCAAAGGCTGTGATTGTTATTTGGGTGATAACCAGTGGTTTCATACCTTCTTCATAACCCTGGAGAATAAAATGAAGTAGATTCAAGGCCATTAGGTTTTTTTCTGCTTGGAGTTTGTCTTTTTTTCCCGTCTTTTAAGAGTTCAGCTCTTCTTTGTAGAAGCACCCAGCTCACGTTACAAGTCTTTTTTTTTTTTTTTTTTTTAAGATTTTATTTATTTGTCAGAGAGAGAGAGAACACAAGCAGGGGGATGGCGGGCAGAGAGAGAAGCAGGGTCCTTGCTGAACAAGGAGCCCCATGCGGGACTGGATCTCAGGACCCCGGGATCACGACCTGAGCCAAAGGCAGACACAACGTTGCAAGTCTTGATGGGAGGAGACACCTACCCCTGACGTTGGAAGCCAGAGGGAACACTTTCTCTTTTCCAACCTGCACACCCAGCCAGGGGCAGCTCTGGAGCTGCGCTCTGCAAGCAGACACATCTCTCAGACTTTGGCTCCTCTGGGGGGGATACAGTGCGACGTGTGGACTGGGCTCTTCTTGCCAGGCCTACCCCTTCTGAGTTCTGTGATTATCTATTTCCCCGTCTTGCTTGTGAGCTTTCCCTCCCCTCAATCCTTCGCACCTCCAGGAGCCTCCCAGTGAAATCCCTTTGTGCTGAGGGGAACCTGTTTAGTTTGGTTTCCCCCAGAAGCAGACTCTGGGGAAAGAGTTTGAAAGCAAGGAGTTTATTTGGGAGGTGGCAGAAACATCGGTTAGGAGAGTGGAGATGGGAGGTGGGAAGAGAGAGCGCTGATCAAAAGTGTATAATCACAGCCATCTGGTGGGCTCCAGAAATGAGGAACACGGATCGTGCGGAACGTGCAGGAACGTGCAGGAACACAGATCTCTGAGTTCTCTTGCTCACGTGGGGGCAGGCACGGGCGGAGTTAGATACTGATTTCTGTGAGTCCGAGCCTCGGGGCTGCTCCCGGCTTGCTCACTGTCCGATCCTTCTGGCTGCCACCAGCATGGGTAAGGGCAGCCTGCTCCTGTTCGGGGAAAGCCTCCCGTCAGAGGGCCAGCTCCTGGCAGTTGCCCCCGGGGTGCAGCACGCAGAGGCGAGGCAGGGGGGCTGCTGAGAGCATCTGCTGCTGAGCCAGCCCGTCCCAGTTGCCTGAGAATCAGAACCGGGCCTGCCACATGCCAGAAGCAGGGCTGTAGCCAGACGGGCCACTCCCAGGTCAGTCATGCCGACCCCACCTGCCTCCCCGACATGGCCACGTCTTCCTTGGAGTCTCAGCCAGCCGGGTGCTCCTCCTTCCAGATTCCTGGACCTCGGCAAAACCAGGCCGGCCAGTTGTGTGCTGGCCGCCCGGGAATGGGGAGAGGAAAGGCTCTCTTTGACCTGATTTCCCCAGTGGGAGGCAGAGCACTGAATCCCACCTCTATTGTCCTAAGATTGGGAGGGGTGGGGGTTGGGGAAGTCATGGGGAAGGAACCCTGACCCATATTCACGGCAGCCATCACTTTGGCGTTTCCATTTCCACCTTCAGTAGCATCCCCAAATCACACAGCCCAACAAGAAAATCACCTGCCTAACATGATGAATTATTCCTCCGGTAACTAAAAATGCACACACTTGTTCTCCTAAGGAAGATCAACTAAAATCACATCGGTTATGGTAAACACCTTCTGGGTTGGGATTTCTCAATAGGGTCTGTTCTTTCTCTAATTCTGTGGTGATCCCATCACAATATTCCTACTGCTGGAGAGTGGAACAACCAAAGGATCAGGCCTCGTGTGTAATTAGAAGAATACTAGTGCTCCAGAGGTGGTTGTGTTCTCCAATTACCAAGTCTGTGACACCCAGGTCAGGGCCACGACTGGGAAAGGGCTGGGGAATCTGGGTCGATGCCTCAGAAAATCTCGAAGCCCCAGACTCCTCTGAGTGTCCTGAGCCTGAGGAAAGGGCGTACTACTTCCTGTTAAAAACCATATTCCCTGCTTGTTTAAAAACAACACAGAAGCGTCTGCCATGCAACACAATAGGGAGTCCCCTCAGGATCTCCAGCCATCTCCTGCTCTGGCTATCAGACCAGTAAGCAGGGTTGAATCCAATAAAACTCAACTGTGGGAGTGCTGAGCCTGCTAAGGAAGGACAGAGGCTCTGGGGCAGGGCAAGGAACCAGGGAACTCACCAGCATGTGCTAGCAGCTGCTGGGAGGGTGTAGATGGAACTGGATCCTGACGGTGCCTGCTGAAGGGAGGTTAGAACATAATAAAGAGAGTTTATCATGGGAGCATTCTTCCATAATACGTGATTTAACACCTTTGGCAATGACCCTGGGAAATGATGGCTCTTTAAAGTTTGCAGAAAGGCAAGGCCCACACCAAGTGAAGTAGAAATTCCAGAACTGCTGTGGCAGGAGGTGGAAAAATAGGTCAGAAGGCTCAGAGAAGAGGGCATGCTAGAGTGGACATATAACCCAAGGCCAGAAAGCCCACCAACTGATTACGTTCTGGGGCAGGGCCCAGAGGACAGTCCATTTATCAACATATTAAGGAATGTTCTATCGGGGCACCTTGGTGGCTCAGTCAGTTAAGCATCTGCCTTCGGCTTGGGTCATAATCCCGGGGTCCTGGGATTGAGCCCCACGTCGGGCTCCCTGCTCAGTGGGGGAGCCTGTTTCTCTCTCTCCCTCTGCCTGCCGCTCTGCCCACTTGTGCTCTCTCTGTCAAATAAATGGATAAAATCTTAAAAAAAAAAAAAAAAGAATGCTCTGTTGAGAGGGCACCAGATTCGCTGAGAGTCTCTTTGGTAGTTGTCCCTGGAGGACAGGGCTGATGATAGAATAGGGCTTCCTGATAACAAGGGGATAAAAGGACTCCAAAATAATAAAGACCAGCAGGTCTTTACTCATCAGAAGCAATGAGGCTACAAAATCGGAGTGTCATGGGGGTGGGTGGGGCTGATCACTAAGAAGGCTACAGAGATGGTTAATAGATGTGTTCCCTGGGAGAGAGACTGATGGACAGGCAATAAGGGTATTGCTTAATTTAAGCCATTGAGAGAAATCAAGAATGGATGATAAGAGATCTGAGCTGTTTTAAGACCCAGATACCCTGAATTAAGGAGAGACCATGTCTCCAAGAAGGAAGGATACGGCAACACCATGGCTAGTAGATACGGCAGTGATTCCTCTAGTCCTTTCCCAGGGAGACCCATGGCCATTTGCTCATACAACCAATCACTGGGGAAAGGGAATAACCAAACATTTCCAAACCTATTGGACATAGGGTATAAGTTGACAGTGCTATCTGAGAACCCAAAGCAGTTTTGTGGTCCACTGTTAGAGTGGGGGCAAATGGGAGGCCAGGAAATAAGAGCCTTGACTCAGGTCTACTTCATAGTGGGTCATCTGGTCTCTAGTGGGTCAGTTGGCCCCTAAATTGGTATTTAGGCAGAACCTCTACATTGGCTCCTTGGCCTGAAAGATAAGAGCACCACAGTGGGTATTCCTTGAAACTCCTCATCCCCTTCCCACTGCTCCAGCCCAAACAATATTATATCTTCATGGGAAACAGCACAGGCTAAGGTTACCCTAAAGGATGTAGGAGGTAGTGGTTCTCTTGCATTCCCGTTTAATTTGCAGATTTAGCCCCTAAAACATCTAGACCAGTCCTGGAGGATTACATAAGATTACTCACACTCAACCAGGTAATACCTTAGACTGCAGTATTGTGCCAGATGTGGGCATCTAAACAAAACCTCAGGTGCACAGATAGTGGTGAATGAATGCTGGTGTGAATGAACATTGAACGGTGAGGAACGTGTCCTATTCCATTCCTGTCAGAGAGGAGATTAGAACAGTTCATATTTTGCCAGGGTGGACCACATTTGTGGTCTGTAAATGTTCTTACCTTGAGTCACTTCTCTTTCCACATGAAGTGGACAACTAAGTGTATGGCCCTAGGCTCTGCTCATTGTGAATACCTGCCTTCACTGCTGTGTTTTGGGGCTGTCCCTATGGGACAGCAGCGGTCCATAGGGACCATTTTCAGCCCTGCATAGCGTCGTCAGCTGGTCATCAGGGACTCTCCTCCATACTGCTTTGGGTGTGAGCTGAGCTGAAAGAGGGGAACTTGATGAACCCATCTGGAATGCATTCCTCTGCATTATGCTAATGGATTTCTGTCACCTCAACTTTGTTTAACATTGGTCACCATAGTTTAATTTTGGAGAAATTCAAGCTGCTTGTGGTGGCACGCCGAATCCAGAATCCAGAATCTTGGGTAGGTTACCAGTATCAGTCCAGGTTCAACCAGAGAGACAGAACCAGTGGAAGATATACATTAAGGGATTTATTCCGCAGAATTGGCTCACGTGATTGTGGGGCTGGCAAGGCAAGTCCAAAATTTATAAGACAGTTTTTCAGGAATGGCAGGTTGGACTTCTTGAATAAGAGCCTTTTTTTTTTTTCTATAAGATTTTTATTTGTCAGAGAGAGAGAGAGAGCACAAGCAGGGGGAGCAGCGGGCAGAGGGAGAAACAGGCTTCCTGCTGAGCAGGAAGCCCAATGCGGGACTTGATCCCAGGACTAGGATCATGACCTGAGCAGAAAGCAGACATTTAACCAACCGAGCCACCCAGGCGTCTCTTGATTAAGAACCTTATCTGCTATCCACAGGTGGAGTTTCTTCCTCGTGAAAGCCTCAGTTTTACTCTTTAAAGCCTTTCAACTGATTTAATCAGGCCCACCCAGGTTATTTATAATCTCCTTCACTTCAAGTCAATGGATTGTGGACTTTAATTACATCTACAAAATACCTTCACAGAAACACCTAGATTAGCATTTGATTAAATAACTGTAGGACTATAGCTCAACCAAGTTGATGCATAAAACTGACCATCAGAGTACCTGTAACATTAAATTCAATCCCATTTAAAAATCAAATCTTAAAAAAAAGCACCAAATTTATAGATACAGAGAACAGATTGGTGGTTGCTAGAAGTGGGGGGTAAGGAGTGGGGGGAAATAGTTGAGGGGAGTCAAAAGGTACAAACTTCCAGTTATGACAAATAAGCTACGGGGATATAATGTACAGCACAGTGACTCTAGTTAATATAACTTTATTGCGTGTTTGAAAGTTCTAAGAGAGTGAATCTTAGAAGTTCTTACCATAAGAAAAAAAATTCTGTATCTACGTATGGTGACAGATGTTAACTAGACTTATGGTGGTGATCATTTCCCAGCATATGCAAATATCTAATCATTATGTTGTACATCTGAAACCAATATGCTGTATGTTAATCATACCTCAATAAAAATCATATTTTAATGTTTTTCATTTCTTTAAAAAAAAAGACTTCATTTTTTCCCCCAAGTTTTTATTTAAATTCCAGTTAGTTAATATACAGTGTAATACTAGTTTCAGGTGTAGAATTTAGTCATTCAACACTTCCATACCTCTTTGACATTGGCCATAGCTACTTCTTACTAGATGTGTCTCTTATATGGGAAACAAAAGCAAAAATAATCTATTAGAACTTCCTCAAAATAAAAAGCTTCTGCCCAGCAGAGGAAACAATCAACAAAACTAAAAGGCAATCTACGGAATAAGTGAGAACATTTGCAAATGACAGATCTGATAAAGAATTAGTATCCAAAATATACAAACAACTTATAAAACTCAACACCCAAATAATCCAGTTAAAAAATGGGAAGACATGAATAAACATTTTTCCAAAGAAGACATCCAGATGGCCGACACTTGAAAAGATGCCCAACATCAGGGGCACCTGGGTGGCTCAGTTGGTTAAGCGATTGCCTTCTGCTCAGGTCATGATCCCAGGGTCCTGGGATCGAGCCCCACGTTGGGCTCCCTACTCGGCGGGGAGTCTGCTTCTCCTTTTCCATCTGCCACTCCCCCTGCTAGTGCTCTCCTGCTCTCTCATTCTATCAAATAGATAGATAAAATCTTAAAAAAAAAAAAAAAAGATGCTCAACATCACTTATCATCAGGGAAACGAAAATCAAAACTACAACGAGGTATCACCTCACACCAGACAGAACTGCTAAAATGAACAACACAGGAAACAGGTGTTGGTGAGGATGTAGAGGAATGGGAACCCTCTTACATTGTTGGTGGGAATGTAAACTGCTGCAGCCGCTCTGGAAAACAGTATGGAGGTTCCTCCAAGAGTTAAAAATAGAGGTACTCTATGACCCAGTAATTGCAGTACTAGGGGTTTACCCAAAGGATACAAAAAAAGAAAAGACTTCATTTTTAAGGGCAGTGTTAGGTTCATAGCAAAATGCAAAGGAAGGTATAGAGATTTCCCATATAATCCCGCCCCCCTAATTATCAATACCCCCCACCAGAATGGGACATGGATTACCACTATTGAACCTATACTGACATATCATGATCACCGTAAGTCCATGGTTTACATTAGGATTCATTCTGTGGGTTTGGACAATTGTATATTGACATGTATCTATCATTATGGTATCAGATTATTTTTGCTGCCCTAAACATCCTCCATGTTTTGTGTATTCATCTCTGTCCCCTCCCCAAGCTCTGGCAACCAGTGATCTTTTTACAATCTCCATAGTTTTGTCTTTCCAGAATGTCATATAGTTGGAATCATACAGTATGCAGCCTTTTCAGATTGATTTCTTTCACTTAGTAATGTGCATTTAAACCTTTCCCATGTCTTTTCATGGCTTGATAGCTCATTTATTTTTAGGCTGAATAATATTCCATTGTCTGATGTATCACAGTTGATTTATCCATTCACCGACTGAAGGACATCCTGGTTGCTTCCAAGTTTTGGCAAATATGAATAAGGCTGCTATAAACATCCGTGTGCAGGTTTTGTGTGGGTATAAGTTTTCAATTCCTTTAGGTAAATACCAAGGAGCATGATTGCTGGATCATATGGTAAGTGTATGTTTAGCTTTGTAAGAAACAGCCAAACTGCCTTCCAAAGTGGCTGCAACATTTTTCATTCCCATCAGCAATGAATGAGAGTTCCTGTTGCTACACATCCTCACCAGCATTTGGTGTTGGTAGTGTTTCAGATTTTGGCCATTCTGATCGGTGTGTTCTGGTTGAATCATTTTTTGACTGGAAAGTTTTTAGATCTTTCCGTTACTTTTGAGTTATTTGGGAACTCTTTTGAATAAAGGGTTCACCAATAGCACAAGAAATAAACCCTAGTGTTACTTGGTACCAGGCAGCACACTTAGGGTTTTACCTGTATTGTCTCATTAAAGATTTTATTTATTTATTTGAGAGAGAGCAAGAGAGAGAGAGCACAAGAGCAAGGGGGAGGGGAAGAGGCAGAGGGAGAAGCAAATTCCTCACTGAGCAGGGAGGCTGATGCGATATGGGGCCTCGATCCCAGGACCCCAGGATCATGACCTAAGCCAAAGGCAGATGCTTCACCGGGGTGGCCTTGAGCCACCCAGGCACCCCTGTATTGTTTCATTAAATACCATGAGATCAGTACTCTTGTTACCCTCTTTCATTTTTGAAGAAAGTGAGATTTAGGGAAATTGCCTAAATTCATTCAGCTGCAGTTCAACCTAGGTCTGTTTGGCTTCGAAGTTTATGGCTTTTTATTTTAGAATAGTTTTAGGTTATAGAAAAATTGCAAAGATAACACAGAGCGTCCTGTATTCCCAGTGCTATGGACTGAATGTTTGTGTCCCAGGATTCCTGTGTTGAAGCTTAAACCCCAGTGTGATGATATTGGGAGGGGTGACGTTTGGGAGGTGATTAGGTCATGAGGGTGGAGCCCCAATCATGAGATTAGTGCCCTTGTAAAAGAGACTCCAGAGAGCTCCCTCACCCTTCCACAATGTGAAAACACGGCAAGAAGATGGCCGTCTGTGAGCCAGGAAGTGGGTCCTCACTAGACACTGAATCTGCCAGCACCTTGATCTCAGACTTCCAAGCCCCCAGAACTGTGAGAAAGAAATGTTTTTGTTTAAGCCATCCAGTCTATGATATTTTTGTTATAGCCACACGAATGGACCCACAGACTCAGTTTCCCCTAATATTAACATCTTCTGTAACTGCAGTACATTTGCTGAAACTATGAGCTTAACCTTGGTTCATTACTGTTAACTAAGCTCTAGACTTTACTCAGATTTCACCAGTTTTTCCACTAATGTCCTTTTTCTATCTTAGGACCCAGTCCAGAATATACCGAATTGCATTTAGAAAAGCTTGTCATTTTAACCATTTCACTTGGATTGCTCTATAGAGAAGTTTATAAATCTACAAAAAGGTAGAAAATTCCATAATTGTTCTTTGAGTCTGGGTGACACAGCCTAATTATGGAATTGTTCAGGTCGAACATTTCTGTTTTTCTTAGAATATAATAACCACTTTGATTTTCAGATATACTTTGATTTTTGTGCCTGATCCAAAAACTCAGAGACTTTTCCTTAAAGCTTTTTGTAATAGCTTTCAGTAACACTCTTAGTTTCTTAGTTTTCCAGAGAAATAAGCTCCCAAGTAACCATGTTAGTGTTACTCAGAACTCTGCAGTCCTCTTGTCCTGATGGCTTCCTTCCACAAGCCTTCATCTCTGTTCCCTTCATCTGTGTTCCCTTCATCTCTGTTCCTGTTGCTATCACCTGAGTCCATTCAGGAGAAGACTATTTCACATCCGGACTATTATAAGGACCTTTAAAGGCTCTTCTAACCTCTAGACTCCCTTCAGTTCCAAACCCATCTTTAATGTCAAGACCAGACTGACCTTTTAAAATCATTAGCTTCATCATATGGTCCCCCTGCTATAAAATCCTCAGGCTCTGCTTGATGATTTCAGGAGAAATATTCAAGCTCTAAAATGTTATTAAAAGCTTTCCCTATTCTTTTTCCATTCCATCTTCCTATGAACCCTTCACCTCAGCAAGTCCATTCCTCTGAGACCAGCCAGCACACTGCTAACTGACTCGGAGCCCATGCTTGTGAGACTGCCCTTATTTGGAATGTCCATTGTCCTTTCTTTTCTGTGTCCAAATATTTTCCATCTTTTAAAGAATCATTCAAGGTTTATCTGATGGCTCTCCAGGGTGTGTAAAGAGTAATTCTCTTCTCCTAGTAATTTGGAACCTCCAGTGTTTATCAATGTGTCCTAGTGAGCAGGGGAAGCTAATTTGTAGTTCTCATTATGTCCCCTCATGTGTCCTTTCATTTTGTTATTCCTGCCAGCCACCTGTACACAGTCTGTCTAGGCAAGAATCTCTTGCCTTGTGTTCCCTGGGTATAACTGAAACAAGGACAGGGCTTCGAAAGACTTTCTGTAAAACAGGGGGAAAAAAAAGGAAATAAATCAAGTTTCAAAAAGCCACAAATTAGCCCAGTGTACATAGTACAAATCACTCAATCTACCTTGATGTACTAGTTAGGATTAAATCCAGATGTATTGGCTGAAAACTCAAAGAATGGCTTGAAAATAGTTTGTTCACTCTTGTAAAAGAAGCCTACCAGTCTATCACTGGGGACTCAGATACTGATTTTCCTACTCCACCCTCCTTGGCATGAAGGCTCCATCCCCAAGGTCATTTCACAGTCTTAATATGACTGCTGGAGCTCCAGCGATCATGTACATATTTCAGGGAGGAAGAAGAGAAATGGCCAATGGAGTCAGAGTATGTCCCCTTTTAAAGAGCCTTCCTGGAACTTTTACCCAACAATTAATTTCCACTTACATTTGACTAGCCATGTTTATTATTTTTTATTATTTTGTTATCTTTTTCAAGGTTTTTTAAAGAAGATTTTATTTATTTATTTATTTATTTATTTATTTATTTATTTATTTATATATTTATTTATTTAGAGACCCTTGGGGAGAGGGGCAGAAGGAGAGGGAGAGAACATATCAAGCAGATTCTGTGCTGAATGAGGGGTCCACCATGGGGCTGGATCTCATGACCCTGAGATCGTGACCTGAGCCGAAACCAAGAGTCATATGCTTAATTTATTGAGCCACCAGGTGTCCCTATTTTTTCAAGTTTTTATTAAATTCCAGTTTGTTAACATATAGTGTAATATTAGTTTCAGGTATAGAAACTACACCTGACTCATCACTTACATATAACACCCAGTGCTCATCACAAGTGCCCTCTTTAATACCCATCACCCATTTAGCCCATCTCCCTGCCCACCTCCCCTCCAGCAACTCTCAGTTGTTCTCTATAGTTGAGTCTGTTTTCCGGTTTGCCTCTCTTTCCCTCCACCCATGTTCATCTGTTTTGTTTCTTAAGTTCCACATCTGAGTGAAATCATATGGTATTTGTTTTTCTCTTAACTTATTTCACTTAGCATAGTACTCTCTAGCTCCATCCATGTTGCAAATGGCAAGATTTCATTCTTTTTAATGGCCAAGTAATATTCCATTATATATATATACACCCCATCTTCTTTACCCATTCATCAGTCGATGGGCACTTGGGCTGTTTCCACAGTTTGGCTATTGTAGATAATGCTGCTATAAACATTGGGGTGCATGTATCCCTTTGAATTAGTATTTTTTTATTCTTTTGGTAAATACCTCGTTGTGCAATTGCTGGACTGTAGAGTAGTTCTATTTTTAACTTTTTGAGGAAAATCCATACTGTTTTCCAGAGTGTGATTAGCCATATTTAGCTTCACATTGCCATACTTAGTTTCAAGGGAGGCTGATGAATATAATTTTTCATTAGAGAAGATTCTTGCCTTGAATAAAATGGATCCTATTAATAAAGACAAAGGGAAGAATGAATATTGGGTGGACAACTAGCCCTCTCTGCTGCAGATTGCTTCTATGGCTGAGAAACCCTCTTCAGTAGATGTCCTCCAACTCCAAAGCTCAAAGTCTCATTGTCTGTTTTGTTTGTACCTTGAACTTTTCTCTAGTCTCCATGTGGGGGTGTTGTCTTAGAATCCATTAGCTCAGTGTTCCCTCAATCTCCTGGGCTGGCTCAATCCATAAGAGCCAAATATTTCTCTAGGTTTCAGTTTTTGGCCAGGGAGTTGTACCTCTTTCTAGGTGACTCTCAGTAAAACACTAGTTTTAGTGTAGCATGCTGTGGAACTGTCCTCTAGAATAGTAGACGGTTATTTTAATGGCTCCCAATGAAGCATGCATCTGGCACTCACTCCCTTATGTGGCACCTTCCCACACTGATTTTGGGTTTGGCCATATGACATGCTTTGGCCAAGGAGACATCAGCAAATGTCAAGCCAGAGACTTGATATGTGCTCTTGCACTGAGGCTTGCCTACTGTGATCACCTCTGTGTAAGAAATGCAGGCCATCTTATCAGAGAGGCTGCATGGATGAGAACTGAGACATTCCAGCTGGCAGCCCCATTTAATCTCCAGGCATGTGAGTGAGGCCCTCTCTGATCTTCCAGCCCCAGAGAAGCTGCCAGATGATTATAGCCATGTGAGTAATTCCAGACAAAATACCAGGAGAACCCCTCAGTTGAACTCACTTACAGAATCATGAGTAAATAAATGGGTTCTGTCTCAAGCCATTAAGTTTCGAGGTGGTCTCTTATGCAGAAACAGAACTGAGCCATCTTGGATATTGCTCAGAGATGTTGTGGCTTGGGTTGAGACTGTGGATTGGTCAAACCTACTAACCCAAGGCTATAGTTTTAAGAACACTTACTTGTTCTGGTCATTCAACATCCATTTCTCTCTCTTTTGGTAACAACACTGGGATTTTAGTTAGGGCCATCAGTTATTCACTTCTCACGTGTGATTCCTTTGGCCACAGTGTTTGGACAGGAAGAAGTAGGTGACCTAATTAACAACTAAAGTCAGGTTTAGGACTTGTTCAAATTCTCTTATCATCTAGAAGACAGACTCTGCAGTTATGAAGTGTCTGAGGAAACTGGTTCAGCCCTCCTCTTTGGTAATGGAGACACACTAAATAGGCATTAGGAACATACTGAAGTTTTACTCTAAAGAAGTTCCTAAAGGAAACCCTCATGTGGAGTTGGTGGGGATGGAAACTAATGCTGGTACTCTGCAGAGTAGTCTGGCCATAGAGAGTAAAATAAAAACACACACACCTTTGGCCCAACAACATAAACCCCAGGAAAACTCTCATATAGGGGGCCCAGATGACGATCCTCATCCGAGCCATTTCTGGCAGCAGAGAATTAACATTGGTTGAAAGCTAGAAGAATGAACAAGTACGCTATGGTAGACTAATATGCAGCACTCAAAAGTAACAATGTAGTTCCGCAACGTGGCCGGCCAGAAGGTCCTGATGCTCCTCTACCCCACAAAAGGAAACCAAAAAACCAGTAAGTGAACAGCTGATGAAAATGGATCTGGGAAAGCTCTGGACTACAATGAAGGATTAGCAGAAACTCTGCAGAGCCCCACAACTGAGGATGTTGAAGAGTACACATAGACAAGAGTAGGAAACATTTTACCTGTGTCATCCCAGCCCCCTGTCCAAAATAGCTCAGCACCAAGAGGGATCCCCTTAGAGGGATTTTACCCCACGGGGGGAAAAGGAGAGCAAGAGAACCCTAGTAATCCTCACTCCTGAGGACACCCACAGTCCTCACCAACATGGAAACCATGTGCTGGAGCTGTCCAGAGTCCCTGCTGCTGTGTTCCCTTCCCAGGGCTGGAGCTGTCACTGCACTGACCTAAGAAAGTCTATAATACGACAAGCCCACAGCCATCATCATACTCAATGGTGTAAAGTTAAAAGACTTTCCTCTAAGATGGAACAGGAAAAGGATGTCCACTCTCACCACTTCTGTTTAACATAATATTGGAAGTCCTAGCCACAGCAATTAGGCAAGGAAAAGAAATGAAAGACCTCTAAGTTGGAAAGGAAGAGGTAATGTTATCTCTGCAGTTGACACGATCCTGTGTAAAGAAAACCTAAAGATTCCACTAAAAACTGTTAGAATTCCATTAATAAATGAAGAAATGAATTCAGCTAAGTTTCAGGTTACACAATCAACATATAAAGATCATTTATGTGTTTCTATCCACTAACAATAAACTATCTGAAAGAGAAAAAAAGGAATCCCATGGATGGTGGCATAACAAAACAATAAAATACTTAGGAATAAATTTCACTAAGCAAGTCAAAGGCCTGTGCACTGAAAACTATAAGACATTATTGAGAGAAATTGAAGACATGATAAATGGAAAAGATACCCCATGTACTTGGATTAGAAGAATTAATATTGTTAAAATGTCCATATTACTGAGAGCAATTTACAGATTCAATGCTATCCCTATCAAAATTCCAGTGGCATTTTTCACAGAAATAACAAAAACTATCCTAAAATTTTTATGGATCCCCAAAGGACCCCTAAACCAAAACAATACTGAGAAAGAAGAACAAAGGTAAAGTATTATACTTCCTGATTTCAAACTATATTACAAAACTATAATAATCAAAACAGTAAGGTTCTGGCATAAAAACAGGCACACAAACCAGTGGGTGAGAATTGAGAGCCCAGAAGACCCTTGCATCTACAGTCAACTAATCTTTGACAAGGGCAACAAGAACACAATGGGGAAAGGATAGTCTCTTTCATATGATGTTGGGAAAACTGGAGATCCACAAGTGA